CATTCAGGTCTTGAAAGCGCTGTTTCAATGTCTATATCCACTGAACAAACACTGAGACATTCCTCACTGACTCCCTGTTCAACACAACAACCTATTGATAATACAAGTAATTGTTTAACAAAATGATATCTAAAGTAGAGTGTATATGATTTACTGGTCGTATTCTTTGGTTGAACTGATTCGGGTGTCACTGCAAGGGTTAGTGTTGTCACAGCTTTTCCAAAGTCATTCTCTGTTGTGCACCTATTTTACAGAATATTCTTGTCATTGAAAGTGCATTAAAAGCAAAAGAAACTCATAATTACATATAATTTCCATCATCTGATTTCACCGTTGATTTGATTAGAAGTGTGAAAACGTAAGTCATTTGTAACTAATTGGTGGGCAAAATAATTATTAAATTACAAATAATGTTAAACATGAATGTTAGGCATACCTCTGAGTGGGCAACTGTTATAAAATTAGTATTGCTGTTGGCGTGTAATTGAACGATATCTGTGTTATTCTGCTTATACCAAAACACTCGGGGTTGAGGCTATCGATCAAATAAATACAATTTGTAACAATACTTATCAATCAAAACAGATTTATTACAAACGAGACATACATTTCCCGAAACTGTGCAGAAGAGTCGAGCGGTGCCTCCGATCGGTGCCGTACTTAGGATTGGATTGCCGACAGCCGTTGGCTTAACTATAAAATTATGAAATAATTATTAATTTAATTATACTGTCCATTGAATGTGTAATGACATACATCTGACATAAACATCGAGAGAAGACTGTGCGGAATGGGTTTCCTTTCCTTCGCCATTCACGGCATAGCAGGAAATGGAGGACAAGTTTCGCGTGACGTGAGTTAGAGTAAAGGCTAAGTGACGAGAATCCAGTTTTGCGACAAGTATTCCGTTGATGAACAGGGATGTGGTCGGGACGGGAGTGCCCATCGCTATACACATCACTGTAATATTAGTTCCCTCCACAATAGGACCGGCGGGTATTATTAAAGGCATTTGTAAAGCGGTGGGTATCGCCGGGTCGGTCCACACCAACACTATCTCCGATGAGGTACTCGTTTCGTTGCGATCGGACACAG